AACCAATGTTTCTGATAACCAGAGTTTCTCACCATCTACCCAAGACTCCTTTGGTAGAAAGATATGCTATTAAGGGTCATAGGCCTTTACCTAAGGAGATAGTGGTCTGCTTTATAGATGGAACAAATCTTTATGAGGAATGCCTTATTTCTCTCACATTCAGTTGGAAGCAATAAATTAGATTTTACTTTTGTCTTTTTAAAAAATTTATTTTATATTTATATCTTTTACATCATTGTGTATTCACTATAAAATCCCCACCACCAGTTCCCCCAGGAACCATCACCAGTCCCTCGTGCTCCCCTCTCCCCTGCCCTGATCCCTTTCCCTCCCATTCTATCACATAATGTCTCATCCATGGTTGCTAGATGTGTATTATTAATAATAATAATAATAATAATAATAATAATAATATCCCTGATCCCTTAATTGGTTCCCCTACATTCCTCCTATAAGTGAAACCAGTTGATATTTTTCTTTTTCCTCCTGGCTTATTTCACTGAGCATGATTTGGAAGCAATAAATTATATTATTTAGGCAGATACAGTATTCCCTGCCCTCATACAGTCACTAACCAAAATACTGAAAACACAAACTGGATGGCAAAATTGGTACAAAATGGTCATACTTTAATGACCCAAATACCTCTCTCTCCTCCCTAAGTACCTCCTCTTCTCTCTCTCCCATCTCCCATCTGGTCTTCTCAGGATTTGGCTAAAGACATAATGAGGTCAGGCTTGGAGCACTGAATGCTCAGGTGCTGGGTGTCCTGGCATTGTGCTCCACAAGGCTCTGTTGCTGGGAGAGTTGAGATGTCAACACTGTTACTGGCCATGGGCTGGCTGAGCAGACTGCGTGAGTAAACCCTTATGCAGTGCTAGCTGCAGACTGCCTGGGGGAGCAGTCACTATAGGGCAAAGAATAAGGAACTTGGATTAAGAAACTGTAGAACAAATCCCAGGTTGGTTACTCACAAACTATCTAATCTCAGAAAACAGAGGTTCTATGTTAACAGTCCAGGTTTTGAAATTACACAAGTCTAGGTTTGAATTCTAGATCTGCTACGCTTAGAGTGTTCATTCAACTTAGAGTGGGTCATTCAACTTCTTAGGGTCTCAGGTTCTATATTAGTTAAATTAGGATATAAGACTTCCAAAAATGATTGTGAATGTTAAATGAAAAAAAAAAAAAGAGGAAATTGTTTAGCACAGTGTCTGATACATAGTAAGACATCCTTATTGCTAAGAGCTTTTCTTGGTGAAGTAGAAAGCCATCAGCTTTTGCTACTGGGGAGTCCTGGGTTCAGTTAGTGGCTAGCTGTGCATCCTTGGGTAAGTTACTAGACTTCTCTGACCCTCAGTTTCCTTATAAGACTTTTGTGAAGATTTAATGAAATTATAAATTTAAAAGTACCTGGCACAATACATAGTCATAGCCTTGATCTTGACTTCCAAAACTGTGAGAAAAAAATGTCTGTAGTTTAAGTCCCCCAGTCTATGGTATTCTGTGTCTTATTTATATATAGCCCTCCTGCCTAATCACAGTATCACCGAGTCCTAATTACATGTCGGCTCCACAAACATTGGGCTCCAAAGAGAGATCTGATGATGGTCCTTGGCACACAGAAGTTGCTCAAAAATACTTAGTGGATTGAACTCTTCTAACTCTAATTTTCGTAACTTTTGGTGGCAGGGTTGCATATGAATTACATTGTGTTGTAACTGGGATTCAAATCCTAATTATTATACTTATAGCTGTGCAATTTCAGACAAGCTAGTTAACTTCTCTGTGCCTTAACTTTCCTGATATGTAAAATGGGAAAATGATATCATCTCTCTCATGGGGTTGTAATGAGGCTCAATAATTTTAAAGGGTTTAAAACAGTGTCCAACATGCTCTAAGAGTAACTTGTTAAGAAAAAATCTATTACCGTCTTCAAATAAATTGAGGGGAAGGCAATACTTTTCATATTCTTCATCTTAAAGTTTTATTGGAACAATTAAAAGGAATCATTAATAAGAAACATTTTTGTAAAGAGTAAAGCCATACACTGTTGTTATCCATGAGGAGATTTTTGTAGCAACTGTCATTTATTCTAAGCTATAGTTTTTTAAGATGCTGAAGGTGGTGTGCAATGACAGTGCTTCATTGAGAAGTAAAGCATTAAAGAGCAGGCCCATGACAAGCACACCACAGATTTTAAGTTGCATTAAAATATATGTACAAGAATGCTCAGTGAAATATGATTACCAGTGATTTTTATTTTTTAATACATTTGTAAATTTCCTACTTTTTCTATAATGAAATGTGTTACTTTTATGAACACATAAAACAATGATACTAGCACTTTTTGGAAGAATTCATAAAGAGAAAATTTAATAGAAAAGCCATAAAAAACACATACACACTCTCTATCACACACACACACACACACACACACACATACACAGAAACTACCAAGCTCTTTATGAAGAGAAGGCAAATAAATATAAATATTCGAGTTACTAGACAATTTTTTTCTCTTGACAAACTATAGTATGGTTGTTAAGATGGATTATCCCAAATAGGAGAGAGAGTTTATTTAAGAATGACCAAAAGCAGGTGGGAAATTTCCTCAAGAAGAAAGCACAGAATGTTCCTTAGGGGGAAAATGAGCGCTAGAACAAGATAAAGGACAATAGAACAAGACTGGTTAGAATCATTGGCCCTTGGGGTTAAAAAGGGCCCGAAAATAATATAGTTCAACTCTCCATCCAAACCTTCAATCTTTTAACAATAGTTCTTGCCACCAGATATTCTGTTATTACAATTATCTGAAAGAGTTTATAAACAAATACAGATATCCAGAACCCATTCCAGATGGACGGAATCAGAATTTTAGTGTGTGTGTTGGGGGCGGGAGGCGGGGTAGGGGGGAGGAAAGTCAGGGAGGGAGGGAGCCTGTGTATACTTTTATAATGTTCCCTTGGTGGAAAATCATTGCTCTGGCTCACTCTCTCTGCGGGTAATTGATGCCATCTCTAGGTGGCTCTCATTTGTAAAAAAAAAAAAAAAAAAAAAATCTTTAAATTGAGCTGCATTTCCATTCTTGGAGCCATATTCAAGAAGGTTTCTTCTTCCACAGAACCATCTCCCAGACTGCTCTGGTTCATTAAATCAAAGCAAGATGCATGTTATCTTGACATTTTGTTTTTTGAAGAAAGCAAAGAAATGACAGAACATAAACTAGTCCTTAGAGTCACTGCTTTGAATACATAACCTTTGGAGAACACTACTAAGCTAGGGCTGTTCTCTCAAAGTGATGGAGACAAGTTAAAGAGACTCTGAGAGCTGTTTGCTGTTGGGAGATTCATAAGCTTGAACTTGAAGGGTAAGAGGCTCTCTTCTCTGCAACTCTTCCTCAGGCAAGGTGAGGAAGCAGCTGCAAAGAACTGACCCCCATCTCATCCCACCCCATCTTTCCTCCAAAATTGTGTGGCCACAGGCTGAGCAGGATGGGGCACCAATCTCCCTTGGAATGCAAATGCTTGACAGGGTAGTTCTTGGATATAATTTACATTGTTCCAAGGCGGCTTGTGCTTGCTCAATCAGTGAATCACTTTGTAATAGTGACACCGACGAGCACTCAGCTTCACTAAGGATTTTCCACAAAGGTTTTGTGATGTTTGGATACAAGGATGAGAGCCCTTTGAGCAAACGGCAGTTCCAGAAAGGCGGTGACTGCTTTGGATTAGCATTATTCCTGACTTTGATGTCATGCCATATTTCTTTTCTACTGTGCATGTAATTTCTGTTTCTTGGAAAATATCTTTGTGCCACAAGGACATTCATGGAAAGGAGAGTTCCTGTTGGTGGTGATGACTAGAAGGTGCTGGGATGGATGAAAGGGTTGAATGTTCTGCAGAATATTGTGCCTTTCAGAAGCAGCACTGAATAGAGACTTGGAAGGCCAAGAGAAGACTACTCTCAACTTAGGAAACACTTACACAGAACTAAACATGTTAGCCAAAGTGGGGAGTTGCGGCAACTAAAAAGTACCTAACCAGGAAAAAAAGAGAGTCATAAATTCAGTTTTTAAACCTCACCAGATGTTTCACAGCTTGTATCCCAAACATTTGAATTTGGGATAGAGTTTTCAGTTATTTCTATCCATCAACATTTGGACCTTAGCTTAATAAGTTGTGTACTTGTAGAGTAAGGAAAAATGTCAGGCTTTTCTGCCCTCCCACCATCAGGATTGATGATGGATCCTTGCGGTCCTGAATGCATGCCTGACAGCGGGCACCTGGAGTAGGGTGTGGGCAGAGGTAGATGGGATTCACCTGGGCTGAGACTGGGCTTTTAAGGGCGGCGTCACGGGGATGCCAGTAGAAGCCGAAGAGAAGCCGAGAGAGAAGCAAAGAAGCAGAAGCAGAAGCAGAGAAGGCCAAAGAGCCCAGATAGAGTGAAGACTTGCTGGGGGCTGGGAGGCCTGCCAGCCTCCCGGCCCCCATCACCCCTGCCTGCTGTGTACCGGGTAAATCCCAATAAAAGACCCACAAAAAACCACTGAGGAATCTGACTCCTTTACCCGGTCTGCTGGATCAGAAAACCTGCACCGTGTCCATTTCTACCCTTACAGTACTTTACTTCACTTTTGCTTGATGATTTATAAAACTATCTGGTACATTTGGAACCTCTTGGTAACCCTCCAGAGCTTATGAGCCAAAATACAAGCTGATCAGCATAATCTAGAACGTGAATACGGGTAAACGCTGGAGGCAGGCAGTGTGAGCAGATCTTCGTTCTTCCTTTCTGCTTTATCACAGTCATCAATTTTGGTAAAACCCTAATGTGAGGACAGTGAGAATTTTTAAAACTTATGTCACCTGTCAGCACTGACAATTACCCTGCAGCTCAAACAGCTATTTTGTGAACAGTTTGCTGTGTCTTCCTCCAATCACCTCCACTCCCTGGAGAACTGAATAGTGATTACTCTGAGACAGAAAAAGGAAACTTACCTTCGTTTGCTGGGAATGACCCCCATCTCCTCACTGTCTCCCTCCAGCATGACCCTCCGGGCCTGCCACCACTCATCATCAGAAGCATTGATAACGTGGAGAATATCGCCATATTTAAAACTAAGTCCTTGACTTGGCAGCCCACTGTCCTTGCTCTTGTCATAGTCGAACATGGCTCTGTAGAAAATGACAAAAGAGAACATTGCTGGGAATCTTAGGCAGCACAGATTCAGAATTCACCCTTTTGATTATTTACCCTTGCTCTGAAAACCCATCATCTATTTAATATCAACTCCCAGGACTGAGTCCCAGGATTGCAGTCCACATTCCCCCTGTTTTGGTCACAAGTTGAGATTAATTCTTGCTTCCCCTTGGAGGTTTCAAGGCAATCTATTGATTATTAAAACCGGGTAGTGTTTCTCTTCTGAGATATCGTCAGGTGTGATAGCTCAAAATAGGCAAAGATAAATGTACCTCATACCTAATGGAAACATTTGTCTTCCCAGTACAAACTGAAAAAAAATCAAAAAGGAAAAGATAATGAAGAAAAACCTGGGCATCTTTCTGGATGATGCCCAGGTTTTGTGTTATGAACAAGTGTTTGTTCACTTGTTTGTTATAAACAAGTGTTTGTTCACTATGAGCCAGGTGCTTTGAATGTGTTATTTCATTAATGCTCACAGCAGTTCCCTATAAAAGTAGTTATTGGACTAACATTGTACTAAAAATCCTGTGGCTGGGAGTATTCATTAATTTATGTCACATCACCCATTCAGAGAGGTGACAGTGTCAAGAGTGGACCTCTGCCTTCCCTCAGCCCTCTTTTCCTGCCTAGGGCTTTGCTGAAACCAGTAGGGAAGATGCAGGTGGTAAAGGTAGAAATGAGTCCTTCTGAGATCAAGAAACCACCCCCCAGATTCCTTCACTTAGGGATAGAGTTAATGAGAAAAGGGACTGTGTGTTATGAACAAGTCCTGTGTGTTAGGAACAAGGCAGTACAGATTCAGAATTCACCTTTTTGATTATTTACCCTTGTTGGTATTTAATACCAATGGTATTCAATACCTAATGGAAACATTTGTCCTCCCAGAACAAAATAAAAAAAAAAAACAAAAAGGAAGAGATAATGAAGAAAAACCTGGGCATCTTTCTGGATGATGCCCAGGTTTTGTGTTATGAACAAGTGTTTGTTCACTTGTTTGTTATGAACAAGTGTTTGTTCACTATGAACAAGTGTTCATAGTGTTAAGAAGAAGTCCTCTCAGCTATATCAGTCTGTAGAACTCCTGTTTTTATAGTCATCCTGAGGGGCTGTGTTCCTTCTGTCCCATGAAATATTGGATTACCCCTGATACTGGATGGCTGCATTGGTTAGTATAATGACACAAATAGATGCTTAAAATACAATGACAAAAATATATATAGGTCTGTGTGTGTGTGTGTATGTGTGTGTGTATACACAGAATAGATTGAAGTCATATAAACATATCTCTTCACTTCCACAGAATGCCCACCTACTTCATCATTTCACTGGGCATTCTGTATTATAATTCTTACTTTCGGCACAATCCCATTCCCACGAAAGACTATTTGCTGAGCTTCGCAAAGCCCAACATGCTGAAGCATATATGATTAGTGGGGTGAGGAAATTGCAAGCAGATTGCAGTTGAATGATAAACAAGACCTTGGTAACTAGCTGTTGTTTTGAGTGAATGATTTGTCTCAAGCCTGAGACAAACTCTCACAAACCTCCATACACATACAGCATACCATGTCTCTGGAGAAGCAGATTTTTGACACCTCCTTGTTTATTTCTTGATTCCATTCTAAGATTTCTTTGGGTGTAACCACTATGCATGCAAAACTAGCTAGATCTGAAGAACACATTTTTCTAAAATCACTAAGGAACAAGAGTGGTTTCATTTCTTTCTTTTTTTTTCTCCATGAAAGAAATGTCACATCTGCTGTCATGGCAACCCCCCAAAAGTTGAAGATAGCATCTAGAGCTCTCACACATTGCAGGAAAATTGAATTACTTGCAACACAGTCCCTTTTCCCATTAACTCTATCCCTAAGTGAAGGAATCTGGGGGGTGGTTTCTTGATCTCAGAAGGACTCATTTCTACCTTTACCACCTGCATCTTCCCTACTGGTTTCAGCAAAGCCCTAGGCAGGAAAAGAGGGCTGAGGGAAGGCAGAGGACCACTCTTGACACTGTCACCTCTCTGAATGGGTGATGTGACATAAATTAATGAATACTCCGAGCCACAGGATTTTTAGTACAATGTTAGTTCAATAACTACTTTTATAGGGAACTGCTGTGAGCATTAATGACATAACACATTCAAAGCACCTGGCTTATAGTAGATGCAGTGTAGTGGAGTATAGTATCATGGTTAGGAGTGCAGACTCAGGGGTCTACTCTCAGGATTATGTCATGGTCCTACTATTGCACTTCTTACTAGTCTTGCAGCTGGATACCCAGGCAAGTTCCTTAACTGCTATAAGGCCACAGTTGCCTCAAATGCAGAGTGAGGATGACAAGAGTGATGAGAGTAGCACCTCTACCAGGGAATTGTATCAATCAAATGTTACATGAGGTAATCTTGCAGAACCTGCACTGGGTGCCTGGCACACAGCGGCAATCTTTAAGAATGAAGTGTTGTGGTTATCATTATCTCCCTTTTCCCTTCTGAGTGGATCCACATGCAAATCCTTTTTATAGAATCTATTCTGTGCAAAAAAAAAAAAAATGCATAGCAGGCCAAGATTATTATCCTTAAAAAGTCATGCTTGTGAGGATGGGAAAGTCAAAGTCATGCTTTGACTGACATCTGGGAACTTAGAATTTGGGTGCATACATTGTACAAAAATGAAGGATGATGTAATAAATACATTAAAAAAAAGAATTTGCGTGGATTCTCACCATTACCTATTAAGAGTGGCTCACTCTGCCCGCACTGTACAGACAATGCCATTTCTGCTGAAACCATGCTTTTCTTCTGGGAGTCAGGGATTGTGGTATGAGGGTATTCACATAAACAGTTCCCAGTCAAAACCCTGGGCACTGAGACATTACTAAACTTTCCTGGTAGATAACATTCACATTTGTCACGTTTAGTTGTGGAGGAATTAATCATGTCTCATGTGACTCCACTGGGGAAAGTCTTCTAAGAAGACTCTTAGAAGCTCGCACCTCCTTTCCCCTAGATTTTGTGTCATTCTTTTACCTTTGTTGATTTTGCTTTATCTTCTTTTGCTTTATCTTCTTTGTTGATTTTGCTTTTATCTTCTTATGCATCACATGCATAATCAGTTATGCATGTGATGATGCTGTGAGTCCTCCTAGGGAGTCATCAACCCTGAGAGCTGTCTTGGGAACCCCCAATCCATTCTATGCATTGTAAAGTATTTTCACATACTCCCTCTCATTTGCGATTCACTCTATGATAAAGAAGGTAGGATGGATATAGTTCTCTCTCCTTTTTACAGATGAGAGATATCGCTAGTGAGCCCTGATGATTAGCCCAGGATATATGGTTTAGTGGCAGCAACCCAGGACTGCAGCTTGGCCTCCTGATCCTGATATCTGTTTCAATATTCTTCATCTTCCCCACCGACCTGGAAGATGGTGGCAAGGATGATAACCATGATGGCAACCACTGCTTAGGGCCCATACTTGTAGCCTCACATTTTGTATTCATTGTTATACTTAACATCATTACAACCCTAAAGGTAAAAATTAGTGTCCCCATTTCACTAATGTGGGATGGAGTTTCAGGAAATTAAAGGATCTGTCCCAGGTCACACATATGTATGTGGTAGAGACTGAATCTAGAATGAGAGCTGTCTGCCTCCAAACCCACACTGTTGCCCATTTCATACTCAGGTTTAATTTTCCAGTCTGTCACCATCTGATGCTCACAACAGAGCAGGACCAGAAACTTTTAATCCCTTTTTTCAGGACTGACCGTCACTTCTGCCCCGAGTCCCTGACATTTCCTTCCTGTTCAATTCTAGTCACAATATTTCTTATGCTAAAAATCTTTGAAACTTCGGTTTTGGTCCATTTATTCTGGATAAAAAATGAGGGGATTGAAGTTAGAAAAGCCATCATGAAAGCTGGCACATAGAAGCCAACAAAGGAGGCTCTAGGGTCAGGGTCTGTGAGTTTGTGGAGCAAGTTATTTAACCTCTTTGGACTTCACCTTTTCTTAAGTGTAAAACTGGTGTAATATATCATCATGTTTATAGCAGCTTGAGTTACAATAGCTAAGAGCTAGAAACAACCTAAGTGCCCATGGACTGACAAAAGTATAAAGATGTGGTATATAAACACAATGAAATACTATTCAGGGCCTCCCTGGTGGCGCAGGCAGTTGAGTGCAGCGCTGTGAAGCTGTCCACAGCCTCTGCAGAGGGGGTTCAATCCCAGTCAGCTGGGGAGATGCCCACATGGTGAAGCAGACTTCTCCTGTCTCACCCGCTGCTCCCCTCAGCAGTGTATTTCAGTTGTCTGCCTGTTCTGCTCCCCACTGTCTCTGGTGAGTCCTCTCAACCCCCACACCTCTGGCCTATACCCCGGTTCTTTTATAAATAAATAAATCTTTACAAAAATTAAAAAAACAAAAACAAAAAAACAAACAAAAAGAAATACCGATCAACCATGAAAACACATGAAATCCTGTGTTTTCAAATATGGATGGACCCAGAGAATATCATGTTTAGTGAAATAACTTAGATGGAGAAAAACAATGTATGATTTCACTCAGAACTGGTATATAAAGAAGAAAATGAATGAACTAAATAGAACAAAAACAAGCTGGTAGAATTTAAGTGACTACCAGAAGGGAAAGGGAATAGGATGGGTAAACAGAGCAAAAGGAGTGAAAGACAGAACTGAATAAAAATGTTGTGGAGTATATACACGTGTTGATTTTTAAAGGTGTGCAACTGCAGCTTTTTTGTTATAATGCAATGTTATTTCAATAACAATATTAAAATATTGTTATTTGAGGATTACTTCTCAACCCCATTGGCAAAATAAAATACCAACTACCTCAAAGAGTCATGGGAAGGATTAAAGGAGAAAATAATCGTAAGGTTTTGCGATACCTGGCATAATGAGTGCTCAACAAATGCAAGCTATTACTATTATCATGTTGTTTTTCTGAAAA